GTTTCTTCGTGTCTCTCTCTTTCTACTGAAGACACTGGATGAGAAAAGGCTCAACTCCGGTGCTCTTCACTGTCCCCTCCCATTCTCTTTAAAATCTGTTTTAATCATCCAAAGTCACGTTTTTAGATCATTACAAGCAGCTAAGCTGAGAAGCTAAGCTACGAGCTAAGCTAACAGGCCAACCTCGGGGTAAAACCTCTGTCTTGTCAAAGCTCCAAAATTCACGGTTGCAACCCGTGCCTTCATCTAAAAAGTTGTTTTTCTCTGCAAAAAGAAGCTGAGAACTTGTTTACTGATTTTTATTAAAAGTTTTCTGTTAAATGTTATGCTAAAGAACTTAAACCACACCGAACGTCTGCCATTTTGATAACGGGAAAACAGAAATGAGAGACAGCCCATGTCACATCAAGGGGCCTCCCTCCCATTTTTCTTAAAGAGACACGTTGCTCGCTCCCTCACTATCCATCCTTCAGTTCAAACAGTCTTATACTACTATCCAGTAGTCAAAAAAGGTATTGCACACAAAAATTTACCAACATTTCTTCTCAAATTTGACAATAATTACAAATTATTGTCAAATTTCAAACAATATTATAATTTTTCACAATAATTTCTGAGACAATTAATCGCCCAGCAAAATGTGTTATCGTGACAGGCCTACTGTTCAGTCTGTGAAGGAAACTTCAATTAAGATTTTCATCAAAACTGTACTTTTACATAAAATGTTAAACCTTTTGAACTTGAAGTTTCTCGTCTGTCCTGTGGCAGCATTTTGTGACATATTAAAACATTATTTATTTATTCATTCATTGGAAGAGAAAACAACTGAGACCGATCTGATGTTCTCTGAGTGCAACATATCTAATTATTATTTTGTATTGAACTTTTCTCACTGTATCCATGCAGGCGAAGCAGAAGTATGAAAAGGAAGAGAGGAAGAAGGAGCTGAAGAGGCTGAGAGGGGAGGACACATGGATTCTCCCCGAAGTCAACCAAAAACTGCAGCAGATGCAGGAAGTAAGTTTCACCTTTTCACCTTAAGCACTGAAAAGTGTACTTAGGCATTCATGACGACATAATTAAAAATGAAATTTCAGCATTAGAAAATAATTTAAACAAACTTTTTAAACTAAAAATGTAATAAAGTGATAAAAGTATTTTTCATATCACGATATGTATTGTGATGGTTGGCAGTAACGATATACATCATGATATGTTTTTGGTATAAAACTTGCTATAAGAATGAAAAAACAATGCATAGGGTGTCCTTTTACCAGCATTTATTTTGAAAACTGCTATACCACAAAATAATCTCAATCAAGAAGATACCACTACCAGGTCCAGAGAGTTGTTAAATAAAAAAATAAATCGAGTATTAGGCTTCTTTCTTGTAGTGCAAAACAATGCAAAATATATCAAATGTAATTTTATCCATATGTTTTAAACAAAACAATATGTTGTTAACTCTTAACAGTTTGCAGTCGTCTCACTTAAGAAATGAACATCACACTGCACAGTGCACACTGAAAACACTTCACAAAATTCAAATTCAAGGTTGAATTGAACTCAGGACCTTCTTGCAGTGAGGCAACAGTGCTGACCACTGAGCCGTCGTGCTGCCTTCACTTCCCGCCTCAGGCGTACTTCCTCTCAGTCAGCACAGCCGCGGAGGGATGCCTGTGACTCCATGCTGCATCCTCCATGCACACAAAATGTCCCATCTCCTTGCACGAGTTCTTTAAGTTTTATTTGATTTTATTGATCATTTTTACTGCAACAGTTCAGTGTTCAGTCAAAGTTGTCTGCTGGTGGTGGTGGGGGGGCTTTGTAGGCAGGGCACACGGTTCTGTTGACAGGGTCTCCTTGGATAAAGGTAGGGGAAGCACTGCAGTTGTAGTGAGGAAGTCATTAATACAATGAAAGTCACACCCTCGGCCAGCAGATCCTCAGTAACTGAGAGCAGCGTCTGCAGCCTCTTTCTATATATATATAAAAAAAATTGGAAAAAAAAAATGCCCACAGAGTTCTGAGTGGGGGCAATTCACAAGACGGGGTTTCAGTATGTGGTAGAGTAGAAAAATATCCATTTTTTGTTGGGCACCCATGTCAACGAAACATGGTCTTGGCACTCTGCATTGACTATAAACCAAGTTTCAGTGTTACTCAACAACCTCCAGCTAACTGTCTCTTACTTTAGCACCAAAATACATTGGCTTTAACCCCCATTTACACTAATCTAATCTGCTAATCTGAGGCAGCAATCTAAAGGCCCTGCACCCTACAACCTACAGGAATTTTCATTTTTCATAAAATCCTAGTATCCGACTCTCCTAAAGCTTTTTGTTCTTCTGTGTCTGCAAAGCTTTTGTGACTGCATCGGTTGAACCTTCATAATCTTAGTCTGGGCGTTTAAATGTCACTGCTCTTTGTTTAGTACTTGTTTAGTACTCAGTACTACATGCTTACTGTGTTGCCAGCGTGCTGCTGTCTCATACTTAATGCAGTTTTGTTGTTCCATGCTTCCTCTGGGGTACTCCTTTCTGATCTTTTAGACACCAAGATCTAAAAGAGAAATTAGGACTTTTTGCTTAATTTTGGTGACTAACAAATTAAAGTCCAAGTTTCTTTATTTGTCATTCACACCACATGTGCTACACAGGGTCCCAGTTACGTCCAACAAAAGTATAAATTGTGAAGAAAAACAGTAATAAGATCTAAGATATGAACTAAGAAATATTCTGAACTAAGAATACACTAAGCACTAGTAGTACAAAAACAACACACCGAACAGCAGCACGAACATGAGTCTGTGTGAGCAGATGAGTACAAATGAACACAGCAACATGAAACAGATCAGCAGCAGCATGAAACCGATCAGATCAGCAGCAGCATGAAACAGATCAGCAGCAGCATGAAACAGATCAGCAACAACATGTGATTTTTTTCACAGTGATTATTCTGGTTAGAGATTCATGAGTCTAACAGCCTCAGGGTAGAAGCTGTTCCTCAGTCTAGTGGTTCTACACTTAATGCTCCTCAACCTCCTTCCTGAGGGGAGCGGGGCAAAAAGTGTGTGTGCTGGGTGAGTGGGGTCCTTCATGATGCAGGTGGTCCTCTTCCTGCATCTGGAGGTGTAGATGTCTGTGATGGTGGGGGGGCTGACTCCAACATCTTCTGTGCAGCCTTCACCACTCTCTGCAAAGCTTTTCTTTTTTGTAACTATAACTATAATAACTATAAATATACGTCAAACAGACACCCTACATTCACAGCACCTGACCTTGACAGTCCTGCTCGCTGGCGGTAGGTCCACGTGGAGGTGGCATCCTGTCATTTTTTCAGGCTTGGTCCGGTCAAGCCCCAGGAGTCAACAGTTAGGCTCTCACCGTCGAGGCAACCCTCCCCCCATGCCTGGCTCAAGAGAGGTTTTCTAATTGGCTTGTTTCATCCTTCAAGGATTTGAATCACTCTTAGTCTGACCCCCCTACCAAGGCCTGTTTGCTGTGGATGACCTTACCAGGGCTGATGTCCCAGGCAGTATAGACCACAGGATCACCGTGTTACTCAAATCCCTCCACCATGTTAAGGTGGCGATTCTGTTAAGGGTTCAACCTTACAGATAGGATGAGGAACTCAGTCCCCCAGTAGAGCTGCTGCTCTTTGAAAGGAGTCAGTTGAGGTGGTTTGGTCATGTGATTAGGATGCCTCCTGGACACCTCCCTTGAGGTTTTCCAGGCCCTTCCCACTGGTGGGAGGCTCCGGGGTAGACCCAGAACTCGCTGAAGGCATTGTGTATTTTCTTTGGGCTGGGAACGTCTTGGGGGTCCCCCAGGACGAGCTGGAAAGTGTTGCGGAGGAGAGGGGTGTCTGGGTTTCTCTCCTGGTCCTTTTGTCTCCATGACCTGACTATGGATGAGCAGTTAAAGATGTTGATAGAGATATACTGTACAACAAACTGACAGTAATGACAAATTAATGGGTTAAATACAATTTGCTAAATTCAACAGGAGGGATCTGCGAGGAAAAAGAAGAAGGAGAAAAAATCCAAAAAGAAAAAGGAGAAGAAGAAAATCAAGAAAGAAAAGATGACAGAAGTAGGAGCTGGCTCGAGTGACAGTTCACAGGTAGACCGTGTCCCACTGCATGGCACACACAACACACACACCTGGAGAAAGTCAGTAACAATTACTGTGTAAAGTTACATGAAAGTGAGCCCCTGTTAATTTATGATTATGTAAAATTAGTCGACAAGTTTCTTGGTAGTAGAGTTGAGAATTGTTTACACTGAAGTGTATTAAAAACGTAATTAATCAAGAGTATATATAACATCAGATCTGTGTCTCTGTACTAATCTTTTGATCATCCATTGTCTCATTGTGTCTCTGTGTTGGATCTGTCTGTATCAGGACTCAGAAGACGAGTGGGTTGAGGCTCAGACTCAGCCTGCAAAAGCCTGGCAGGTTACAGAGCAATCTAAGACTTCAGAGAGCAGCTCCAGCCCAGCCCAGAGCGTCCAGGTCAGAGGGGGACCGTGCCCCACAGAGTCCATCGAACTCTTTGGTGCCACATTCACTATAAACATTTCACTGTTCCTGAGAAAGTGCCACATTTAAAATATTTTAAAGATGTGTTGTGCTTAAATATGTCTATTGGTTTCCAGTCATTTCTCTCGTTGTTTTTGTCCCTTAGAGAGACGAGTGGATGACCTTTGACTTCCTGGCTATGAAAACCACATCCACTGCAGCGAGACGAGCTGAGAAAGATCGACAGAAGGAGGCAGAGAGAGAGAAGGCTCAGGCTATTGAGCAGGTGTGTGTGCTTTTTCTTTCACTGTTGTTTCTGTTCTGCTGTCTGACTGGGAGGGGTGAACATAAAACCATCTGTGTAAGAAGGAGATGAGGAGAGATCATGTTGTTTTGTCATTAAACAAAAGGAACTGTTAATGGACATCAGCATATTGTGGTTTGTTTTGATTTTCTGTCCTCAGGGTGTTTTTGTGTTATTTACAGAGTTTTAATGAATATGAATGTTACTCTTAGGCTGGTTTGCACAAACTGGAGCTGAACCCTTACTGGAAAGATGGAGGAACTGGTTTGCCCCCAGAAGAAACCGCTCAAACTGCAGTAAAAAAAGGTAAAAATCATCCATCATCACCATCAAGGCATTTTTGTAGAAAGCAGAATATGAAAATAGTATTGCTTTTATTTTTATTTTTAGCACATCTAAATTATTTATCAAATTTTTATAATTTTAGTTTTTTAGAAAAACCTGTTGTAGAACAGCTAAAACTAAAACTCACTGTGAAAATCACTTTGGAAAAAAACCCAAACAAACTGAAAATCACTGTAAAGCCACTTGGTTGTTGATAAGTGCTGCTGACTATCCATGCTGCTGATCTTATGCTGCTGATTTACTTCATGTTGCTCTGCTCATTAGTCCTCATCTGCTCACACAGACTCATGTTCGTGCTGCTGTTGTTTTGGTGCATTGTTTTTGTTCTATTAGTGCAGTGTATTCTTAGTCTTGTGTATTCTTAGTTTAGTGAATGTAGTATATTCTTAGTTCATGACTCGGATCTTACTAATGTTTTTCTTTACAATTTGTATTTTTGTTTTAATGTAACTGGGACCCTGTGTACATAGTTTTGTTCCACCTCATGTATCACGTGTGGTGTGTATGACAAATAAATCTTTCCGACTCTGACTAAAAACTGTATGAGCTCTGACACTATTGCTCATGTTGCACAATGGTCCCGACCGAGTCCAAATCAGGATGAAAAACGTCAGAGTGAGCTCTGGGGAAGACCCCGGACCTCCAAGCAACACCTCCTCGCTCCAGAGGCTTCATGGACCAGCAAGCAGCACTCAGATTGACCCATGAGACTGGAAGTTCGGTTCTGGTCCAATTCCCGGTTGACTCTCTGCATCCACTGAGCGCCGAAGTCACTATGAATAAGGACTGAACGTTTTTGGATCAGATCAAAACTTTCGCTCCATTTCAGCAGAAGGCAACTTTGGCTTCTGGGTAATTTAGTCCTTTTGAGTGGCAATCCAGTGTAGGCTTATTGAGAGAAAACTACAAAAATGGCAGGGCTTGTCCGAAGTTTTTTTTTTCCTGTTAATTTTTTACTGAATCCTGTACTGTCCCAATCACTCGAGTAATATTAAAGGTGACAATCATGTGTCCTGGACAATATTTAGCTTTTTTTTAATTCGTGTCCAGTCTTAATTTGAAAAACCGCGAAAGAGTGAGTCTGCAAAAGTCTAACTGCGAAGTAGCGAGGGACTAGTGTACAGCAAAGCAGATTTGATTCTCCTCCACAACAATAAAACCTGTTGTTTTTGCTTGTGCGTTGTTCGGGGAATTACAAATGTTAATGATAAAAAAATAAGGCCAATGTTTCTGTGGATATTCCTGCCTTTGTGAGGCTGAAGCAGAAATGTCTTGGTTTTGCTACAAGTCTTAAAAATCATCTTGATTTTCATATTTCACCCTAATCGGTGTGCTTTCAGAAAAGGCTTGGGCCTTTGACAGACAGTGGATGGTCTTAAGCCTCACCATGTTCTCTAACTCAAAGAACTCTCCTCTGTCTTGACCACGACCACAAAGTCTTTTGGGTTGGGTCAGAACATTTGTCGTGTTTCGTCTCTGAAGTTGTGCCACCTCTTGTTCTTTGGACTTACATACTAAATTCAGCCGACGTGGTCTTTTTCTTTACTTTTTATGCTAACACTTCAGTACTCTTGTTGTTTCTTGGACCCCTTCTGTGTTTTTGCCAACACTAATCTGTGTTTAGGTTCATATTTTCAGGATTTCATGGCTTCTTTTTCTATCACTGAATTATAGCTTTCATTTACGTTCTCTCCAACTTATCTGCTTTCTTAAATTAAACAATCTGGTTACTGTACTTAAACTAAATTTTGAGATTTTGCCAAAATGAATGAATTAATTTTTTCAATTTTTTTTTTATTTTTTACATGCCATTTTCAAATTATTCCTTTTGTAGAGGAAGTTACTGATATATCCTGTGTACCCTCCAAGTAGCTTGAACTTGTTTTAAATGGGAAAACATCTGGTGGATTAAATACACCGTGATGTGAGACAGAAGAGAAGATATCACTCATTCACTGACGATTCATTAGTCAAAGTGTTTCTATCTGCTGTTAGCTGCAGGTCCTGTGGTGAATGATGGTGGTCTGAGCTGGCTGAGAAAAAGTTATCAGAGGATGAAGGAGCAGGCAGAGAGAGAACAGCGCAGCCTCAGTGATGTTGTAGCAGCGAGATACGGGGTGAGATCTGGATGCACTCACACATTCACATGCTCACTTCAGCTCAAAATATAACAAACGTCACCTCACTGATTCTGAATCATCCAAGATTATCCTCTTTACTCTTCTTTTACAAAACTCAACTTTACTAAATCATGAACTAGTCCAGATCTATATCATTAAAACGTCTGACCCAAAGCCACATTGGCTGCTAGGTTTTAAAGGATTTTAAAAAATGTTTCAAAATTATTCATCATGTATGGTAATCTGTTTAAAGCAGTGCAGCATTTACAAACTTTATGACCGATGTGGTGAGTCGGCTGACGTATCTGATGGCAGGAGTCTGCAGTCTCTGCAGTTAGAAGCTGGCTCACAGAGAGTTAGAGACTTCTTAACTTGGCATCGCTGTTTCTAAAAAGAGAAACCTGAGAGGGAAGAATTTCATCTTGTGAGGAGTTTAAAACCATTCGGTCTCATATGCTCATTCACAGGATTAAAATGGGCAACATTAATCATCTGTACAAAATGAAACACAAAGCTTTTGAGCAATCCTGTCCTCTAAAAGTTTCCAACCCTGTGAATGATCTGAACCATTTTCATCACTTCTTCTGTTTCTCCTTTAACAGTCGATGGAGGAATTTCAGAAGAGGCTTGCGGATGCTGAGGAAGCTGTTTATGGTCAGAGACGATCAGATAGAGAGCGTTCAGGGAAAGGAGAGGACGAGGGCAGGGAGAGATGGAGGAGAAGAGAGGAGGATTGGCAAGATCGAGATCGGTGGAGGAAAGGTGAAAGAGACTCATCGCCTCGGAGCGCTGAGAGATACTGTGGCAGGAGAGCAGTGGAGAAGGAGCGGCATCGAGGAAGAGAGGAGGATAGGGATGGAGACAGGGACAGGGACAGAGGAAAAGACAGAGAAAATGACAAAGACAAGTCCAGAGAGCTAGAAAGTGACTGGCACAAGGATAAAGACGGGGACAAAGATAAGTTCAGTTCAGCAGCTGCGTCTTCTGGACAGAGCTGGAGTCAACGTTCACGCTCACTAAAAAGCCGTTTCCTCAAAACTTCAGATGACGATGACAGTGCTGGAGGTGGGTTCATCTCAAGGTCTTTGTTGTTAGGTGTCTGAAGAATCACCGTAGAAAAAAACAGCTTCATTAGCTGAGTTTGAATCGTGTTGGCTCTTTAAATTAGAGCCCGACTGATACGGAAATTTTGGCTATCGCCGATAAAGATATTGGGAGGAGAAGGTTAATGCTGATAACCAATATATTGGCTGAACATTTGAGCTTTGTCCACCCTCAAGAATCTAAGTAAACAGCTACTTTTAAACCTGTTTTGACACTTGAAGTCTTGAAACAGTCTTCCTAATGTGTGCTCACATTTTCTGTCCTCCACTATTCACCATAAAGTTATCAAGTGCGTTACAAAAATATAAATTAAACAAAGAAACACATTTCCCCGTTCATTGTTTAAACAATCACATATGGTGAAGGTCTAATTAATGTTGACCACAGCAGGGTTTTTTGTTTTTTATGCAGAAAAGCAAATATTTCAGACAAAGAAAGACAAGACAAAGATAACATTACTAACACTGAGATATTTCACCTCTACGTTAGATTTATTGTGCTGGATAAAGTTTTACAAGCCTGTGCTAGGTTATTTAAATGTTAGCTTGTTGACTTGAGAGGCATGTAGCTAATGGCAACAACTTGGAGGATTGAAGATAATTTATTATTGTTGATTTGTTTTATTTTACAGATCAGTTAAAATAAACGTACAATGCTGTGTTCAGCAAAATACTCTACACAGTATTGCTCGCTGCTTCGGCTGTGCTGAAAGTGAAACTTAAAGTGAACTGCCAGGACTTGAAAGTAGTCCACACACACCCTCTCTTGGATACATTGTATAATTACACCTTTTGTATGTAAGGACACAGTTAATTCCCAGCATTTTAGGGGTGAAAATTTGAAGTGTTTATATCTGTACATAATGGGACAATTAACACAGATACCGATAGATCCCCAAACGTCTATATACGCCTAAAATATTGCCCCTACCAATATATCAGTCGGGCTCTACTTTAAAGTCTGAAAAGGAACAATACTAATCTTTGCAAAATCTGATCTAGTTGAAAATAAGGAACAATAACTATCCAACTTTATCAAAGCTAGTTGTCTTAGCACCTGAGATAATTGTTCTTTGGTTTATGCACAGCACCTCAGCGTCCTGGTCCAGCTCAGACATCCACACGATTCCTGAAACCCAGCTCTGATGATGAGGACCACACCCCAAAGAACAACAGCAACCAAGCCTGGAAGAAAAGCAGTATTTCTGCCCACAAACCCGAACACATGGAAAAAGTGCCACAGGAAAGTCAGAGACCGGCAGAGCGTACTGTAACTGCTCCTCAAGTTGCTGCACCATCGAGGTTTGATAGTTTTTTTATTTAGTTGCTTTGAAAACAAGACTTCCCTGAGTTTGAATATTCCAGTTGTGATAACACGTCAGTGCTATCTGCCTGATCAAACCTGGTTGCACACATTGGTTCAACACCAAACAGTATGCTCCCAAAGGGAACAGTCCCTGCACAATGAATAGCCAGAAATAATTCTGCACAAGTTATTTGTTGTCCCCCGTCGTGGAGCAAAGAGGGGGAATTGGAAAATGCCATCTTTCTGACCCTCTGTGCATGTTTTGAGCACGATAACTTGAAAAATAAGTGAGGTACCGACTTCCTTTCTTACATCTAGGTGAAAGAAAGGTTCCTTTCAAGAATTGGGTTGCCACGTCAAAATCCAAGATGGCTGTCTCCATATACGTATATATGTTTACTTTGTGAGCTTGAAAAATAAGCAAAGTGCCAACTTCCATTTTGGTGTGTAGCTGCGTTTAGGCTTTAGAAATATCACCACTGAAAATTGGGTACCATGTCAAATTCTAAGATGACCATTGGCAAAAATTAATCTATTGGGGGCCAAGGGCACCATTAGCCACCCCCTGGCTCCACCATTACACCTGGTCATGGATAAAATTGTGCCCTCCACTTGCCAGGACCCATCACTTTGCGCTGCTTTGGACAAGCAAAAACCACCTTCCTTTATTCTTCTCCACGGTGTAACTCCTGCCCACTTGAGTATCTTGCACCAAAAACATTGTTTAGATGACAGATGATGTCCAGGTTTTTGAACTTGATCACCTCTAAGGCCTTACAACTCGTAATGTTGTCATAACGCTGCAAAACAGCTGTGGACACTACACACGAACGTCTTCATTTGAACAAAACAGACACTAAAAGGCTCACTTTTTTAATAAAAGCTCACCTGCATAACAAATGAAATGAAAACAATATGTAGGGAGTTGCCTTTGGATAAAAGATAATCCAGACAAGAACAAATCCAGGGTCAAACAGGATTATGATGTTAAGATTAGCACAAAATCAGATCCCAGTGTGAACATACACAATTCTTCTCTGTGTGTAAAATAATTGTTGAAAGCAGTAAAATCTTTCCCACTGACTTCAGTGAACTGTTGTTGAACATGTTTTATTTCTATTCCAGCTCAATCCTTTAACCACTGCTTCCATTTTGTTTTGACACTAACTGAAGAAAGCTACTAGTCCAAAAAAGCTTCATCATACAGATCTAAAATGGATAATGTGCTTTAACTGTGGTCTAATGTTCTGAGGACGTATCTGTGAAGCGTCTCAGTCACGAGTATTCTTCTGTTATTATAAAGCTTTGCTTACAGTTCAAACTTAAGAGATTTCCAAAACACAAATGCAACTAATAAACCCAACTTCCACCCTTTTCCCTTCAAAGTTAAATTTTGTTTATTTTGACATATGTTTTATGCAAAAAAACATCTAAACACAGCTAAGAGGCACTAAGTTGTCGCATTTAGTGTAGTTGCACAGAACTTTTTAACACTGATTCATATGTCTGCAACAAAACCTTACATAATAGTTTTGATCGACATAAATGCACCTTTAAGAATAGACATACATTTTTAAAGAATAAGTAAAATTAAAAAACAAAACACCAATGATCTGAGCAGTGACTGGCCTGAATGACTATCGGCCAGTAGCCCTCACCCTGATAGTTGCTAAATGCTTTGAAAAACTGGTCATGACTCACATCAAAACAACCATCAACATCAACGAGGACCCTCATCAGTATGCATACTGTGAGAACTGTGAGAATCGATCAACAGAGGACGCCATCTCCTCTGTGGTCCACACTGCTCTCACCCACCTGGAGCAGAAGGACTCACGTCCGTATGCTCTTTGTGGACTTCACATCCACCTTCAACACCATGATCCCCCAAACCCTGATGGACAAACTATCCACACTAGGACTAAGCCCCTCCATTTGCAACTGGGTCCTAGACTTAACAAACAGACCACAGCCAGTGAGGATCCACAACTTCTCCTCCTCCACCATAACCCTCAGCACTGGCTCTCCTCAGGGCTGTGTGTTGAGCCCCCTCCTGTTCACTCTGCTCACATATGACTGCACATCTACCCATCCAGGCTGTCATATTTTAAAGTTCGCAGATGATACAGCAGTGGTTGGATGCATCACAAACAATGATGAGTCCAGCTGCAGGCAGGAGGTGGAACATCTGGAGAACTGGTGCAGGAAGAACAACCTTCACATCAATGTGAAGAAGGCGAACATAGAAGGATATGTGGTGGAAGTGGTCTCCAGCTACATGTACTTGGGGGTACATTTGAACAACAACCTCAGCTGAGGCAACAACACCAACCTGATCGAGAAAGCTCATCAGAGACTCTACTTCATCAGGCGGCTGAGACGAGCTGGTAGCTCAGTCCTCACCTCCTTCTACAGGTGTGCAGTGGAGAGCATCCTGTGCTCCAGCATCAACATGTGGCATGGAGGCTGCACAGCTGCAGAAAGAAAAGCTTTGCAGAGAGTGGTGAAGGCTGCACAGAAGATGTCGGAGTCAGTCTCTCCACCATCACAGACATCTACACCTCCAGATGCAGGAAGAGGACCACCTGCATCATGAAGGACCCCACTCACCCAGCACACACACTTTTTGCCCCGCTCCCCTCAGGAAGGAGGTTGAGGAGCATTAAGTGTAGAACCACTAGACTGAGGAACAGCTTCTACCCTGAGGCTGTTGGACTCATGAGTCTCTAACCAGAATAATCACTGAAAAGCCACTTTAATTGGTGACATGTGACTTTATCTGTGCTGCTGATTTCTTGCCTTTAAGCTGCTTTAGTCTTACCCATCTGCTCACAACAGCCTCATGTTCAGGCTGCTGTTTAATACGCCGTATTATATTATATTATTATTGTTTAGTGTATATCTTAGATCCTTGTATACTGTTTCTTTTTTATACTTTATGTTTTTGCTATTTTTGGATGTAACTGGGACCTTGAGTACACAGTTTCGTTCCACCTCATGTACCATATGGGATGCGAATGACAATAAAAAACTTTGAACCTTGAACCTTATGTTCTAGTTCAAGTGTGTTTCATTCTGTACAGGGGTGAACTGTTGTCAGCCAGATGTCAGAGGACCAGAGTTCTGTAGAGTCTCCTGTGTTTTGCCTCATTAGGCTAAGTTGTTTGGGTGAAGTGGCAGTCAGAGCTCCTGCAGCATGAAATGAGCCCACAGCACGGGAGCAGATGGAAAAGATGCTATGAGAAGTTTAATCGCCTAGAACAATGCTGTTTGGGTCGCAGTACCGATCCTCTCAGATGAGGCTGTCAGGTTCGCCAGAAGGAGCACAGTGACTCAAATAGATCATCACAGATAAACAACGAGAGCACGCACAAGCAAACAACTTCACAGTTAAACTTCAGCAAATCAGTTTTCCATTGATGGTGAACTGGGTGGGACAAAATATTACCGGTACAGTAAAATGGACGTTCAGAGAGCAAGTTGTTGGAGAATGGTATTAGACTGACTTAACACCAGTATTATAATGTGGGTGTGAAAGTTTACAACCCAACCAGACAAATACAGACTTTAGTTTAAAGTGTGAAGTTTTACGTTTTCTTTACAA